ATATTCAAACAGTTGCGTATTCCGAAAGATAACACGTGCTGTGACCGTTTAAACTTCCTCAGCGTCATTGGGAACGATGATATTCAGATGTCGCCTGTACACGTGGCATGTCTCCATATAAATCATTTTTCGAGGTGTATTATTATTATTATTAGAAAGCTGTTCTCCAGGCACACGGGAGGCACAGCAAGCAGGTGGGTTACTCTGCCAAACCGGAACCAAACAATGACCTGCAACCACTCCGCGAAACCCGGAATCAAGCGCGGTGAGATGAGATGGTTTATACAAGCGTAGGAAAAAGACATTTGGTGTTGAACTAACTAGAAAGTTTGGTAAAATTGTCGGCGCTGGTAGTCAGTGTAATGCACTCAGATAGAGATCTATTTTGATAGTAACCGCCAATAACGCTGATAAAATGTTCATTTCACCCAACAATAATCACTTTACTACAGAGGATATCTATGACTGGATGAGGAACTTTCAGTGTTCATTACTCCATTAAATGTATTGTGTGTACGACATTTTTAAACAACATAATTATGACCTCTAAATAATGTCAGTTATCATGATATATTGGCAACCACTTATAAAAACCAGTTATTGTGAGTATTCATCTAGTCCGTGGATATGTTGTTGCACGACGGATGAATACGAAGGCTACCCCATATTTAGTGGTGGAATTTCGTCAAGCCAGTATGGAAACCCAATGTTTCGGCTAACTATCCCTGTAATGGGAATATGATGTGCTTTCATGCTTCCAGAGGCCAAATGTCAACCTCAGTGAGGTTTCTCGTGAGTTGTTGTCGACTTTCTTAACGATAGATTGAAAACATTTTCAAGATGTGCACGGATGTGGAATATGATTTACTGACATTTGAATGATTAGAACAATGTTAAAAGCAGCTTTATGACGTGGTGCTTTCTACAGAAAGTATTTCGGTGGCTCAAAATCCAGGCAGGCTGCCAGTGAAGTTCACGAAGCAGAGACTCTGGCTTTATCATGTAACTCATACTGAAATCAGCTATTTTATTTAGGATATTAAACGTTACCCAGTGCCTGTCATACCCTGCATGAAACAGTCAACACCACCGAAGTATGAGAAATGTGGGAATAAGAAACCGCGGTAACTCCGTTTTTCTAATCAATATGGTCAGAGAAATATGAAGATTGGGAGCCTCAGTGAATTTTAAGTGAATGATGTCAGCATTTGAAAACGGAATACTTCACTCTGCTAGATTTTCTGTCGGTCTAGGAGACCTCCATACGTCCATATAAACTGATGCTGATTTTGATGCCGCAGACTGAAAGATCAGAGAGGATATTCTTCTTTTTCTGGTCGATGCTTTTCACGTAAGAGTTGAATTTTTCAGACTAGCCAACCTCAAATTATTGACACTAAATGCCGTTAACTGCATACCATTCAGTAAAGAATTTCAGAGGGTTAACAACAGTGACCTCCCTGGGCCGTATTTATCCCTAACACAAATGAATTCAGGTGCGCTGATTGGAACGACTTTACCCAGCACTTAGTCAGATGAATCGCGAGATGAATTCAGGCAAGCGTATGAAACAACAGCCTTAGTGAACAGTTCTGTTCTCTGATAAATTCACAACAACATTCTGTATCGAGCTGTATCCTTGTTCACATATATTGATGAAAGTAATATCAGGTCTACTTATGGGTCAAAAAAGATTTTTTGGGCGGCACTCCTAAACATCACAAACTTTTCAGCTCCTCAAATCTCAGGAAAACCCAGACAATTAAAAGGTGATTTACTTAACCTCTTTCATTCACCCTCTACCAGCATCACGAATCATCGGTCCTGGTTAACTGAAACTGAATAAAGCAACAGTGATATACGTGTCCTGTCTTGCAGCACGTTTCACATTTATGGTAAAATCCTAATTCATAGAAACCGACTCCAAAGTACCTCTCTTAATGATTGATGGTAGCTTGCAGTGGAACCTAACAGGAAATCATAAGTATCAGTAAATATTTACTGTACTCGCTCACTTTTGATGCTCGCACATCCGCCGACGCAGAATTAGCGTAATTCGTGTAACTCTTCTTATGGGATTAGCATGAAAGTTTGCATACAGACTACGTTTATCCCCAGTTATTTAAGACTGCAGGCCCTTTGCAGAAATCCGTTCCATCTACAACTGTAGTATGCACGTACTTGGGCATACTGGGCCTAATTAAATCAAAAGATATTTTTACCAAATCACAGAGGTTAAACCATGTGAAGTTATACTTCCGATGTGTGACCCCTAGTGAGCGAGCTATACGTGGCCGAAATCCAAGCAACCTTCTACGCAACTCAGTGCGGAAAAAATAAAGTTATTGTAGATGACACATTGCTTAGTTTTTGACAGGCAGTCATTAACTCGTACAGAAATATCCCATCGATTTAAGGGCATTCACCTATCTCTTTTGAAGCAGCATGCGGAAGCATTATGCGGCCTGCTGAGAATTGTTTTCAGTATTCTTGGACAGACCTCAGCTCCCGAATCAGTAGAAGTGCGTCGCACCCACTTCCATCCTCAAATGAGGAGACTGACAGTGTCCCGAGTGTTATCAACCTGCCGAAATCATACTGGTGTTTGACAGCCGCATCAGAGAACACTGGAAAACATAAAGAACGATCCACGGGGCTTAACGCAGCTTTTAGGAAATTAGTTTCCAGGTTTTTAACCTCCAGAGCCTGCGGGCTCATAAGTGCACCATACCTTCAGATGTGGCTGGCTGTTGATGCCGCCACTACCATGCATTACTGCCTACAACAATTTGGTTGGCTGTTGATGGTCAGTTACTATTCTACCTGATGAACTACTAAAAATCCGAAGAATGGTGCACAGAAGTCAAAAACATCTGCGGAAAGGATCGTCCCTTAGTGCCCCATGTGGAGCTGTTTAGTTTCCTTGCTGTTATCACGATCAGTGAATACATTTCCTGTTTTCTGAGCTCTCTACTTCCGTTTTACGCTGCTCTCGATCTACGGAGGCCCGAAACGGATAATGGCCTGCAAGATTATCGGTAGCAGAAGCTACTTGGATCATCACTACGTCGACCTCATAGGAAATCTGGATAGGGCCAGCCACCATAGGGCAAAATAAGTATGCAACCACACCCATCATCTTGTTCTTCCCATATGTTTCATTCATGGGAACTAGGTGTTGAATGCTCACCTGGAAATGTTGTTTGGAAGTTGCTGGTTACCACATGTCTCTAGCCAAGACTGCGACTCAGTCTTCCTTTCACTAGCAGCAAAATTCCGCACCCATCCTGGGCCAGCGCGGAACGGCACTGACACCCCTCGTCGGAAAGCGAGCCATGGCGACCCTTCGTAAGTTGGACACCTGTGGAGTGGCCTAAAAAACTTCATTCAAACTAATCTAAAAGATTCATTTGTAAACTCCAGTCACTACTGATGGCACATTCTCAGTTTATTTGGTGTCTGTGAAGGGACTTTACCCCATCCACTCAATTTCCAAAGATTATGACAATGCAAGTGTATTTGACATGCGCAGTTTGTGATTTCCTCCTCTTCTGAAGTTTATTGAACTATTTCTATGATTAACTTTATGTTAGCGTTGTTGCCTGTATTACACCGTCGTTGATTGGACCGAGCTGATCAGTCTCTTTCTGGACATAGGCCCCTGCGCGGACGTCTCGATATTGCCAACGTTTTAATAATGTGTAGTAATGATGGTGAGTGACTAGCAGAGGAATCCATGACGAGTCCCAAATAGGAAGAGATGGGTATCCTGGGTTCCACTGCTGGCCACTATCCATCATGACCATGTATAACTTTGTGTTGTTTTGAGCATTTCGGTCACCGTAACCTGATATTTTGTGTTCAACTTGCCCCATTCTTTTTTACGTGAGCATTGAGTTGACTGTTTCAAATTATCATTCCTGTACCAACATCGAAATTTTGATGGCATAATTATAGAACGGGACCTGTGAGCTGGCATTTCCCTCCATTTACAAGGATACTTTATTATTACTTTCTCTCTAGATCTGTGGCAAATGAAATGCACTGCCGCCTGAGGTAGCCATCACCCAACCGTCAACACCTCCGTAAAAAGCTGGATAGCTACTCAATCGCACCTGGATTTTACCTATCGATTTACGACAACCATCTTGCACCCATTAGGCTGGGTCATAGAATATGCCAAAAAACCGGATAAATCCCCGGTATTTTAACTCAGCAACTCCCATGCCGACTTTTCTCTGCTGACATTACTATCACGAACTGGATGCAAGCTAATTCTCCCCTTTTGGACATCTCTTCTCTCCAGTTACCGTTCCCCCACTCTCAATATCCTTCCCGTTATCTTAACTGCTCTCTCTTCTACTTCTGGCCCCCGCCAATTTCGCCTCGTTCATTAAGGTGCTCCTTATCACGGTTTTCTTTAATGTCTTCGTTGGATAAAACCAGGTTTCTCGACTACTTTCGATCTACTTGTCATCAGTTTGCTTCTTCAACTTCCCCCTCCTTTGCTTTTGCTGGACATCTTTCCGTGCTTCCTGTCTTATTTTTACCAGTTCAGAGAGCTATCTGGTGATGCGAAGTTTGAGGAACCCACATTCACTGTAATCTCAGGACAAATCTCAAAATCCCCCTCCAAATTTAACCAACAGCCAACCGTTCATTGGGTATACCGGAGCTATAGCATGCAAGTGGATAGATCTACGGCGTCGGAACCCACCAAGGATCTGTAACCGTTCTGCAATATTGCAAAAGGATATTGCACTACGAATGTTGCATGTTGAAGAATATCATTGAGAAGAGGTAATGAAAAGACTACTACCTGGATGAAATCTTAAAAAGACAAAGAAAGCGAAAGCTACAGCTACTTTGTTAGTCTGACAGTAGAAAAATTTAGTATTCCAGTTTCTTGTTTGTTTAGGTGAATACGTATTAAGAGTCCAGGCTTTCGAGTCATGATGGTTATTTGAACCTCTGCAGATGTTTACGTTCGGTAGTTCGAGATGGATGAGCTAGAAGCCACTATCAGCTGGGAATTATTCATAAAAAAAGTATGAAAACTTATCTGATTGAACATGTTGGCAGGGGAGCTTCGAATCTCTTAGGCGTTTCGGGGAAATCGTGTTCCAGAAGTACAATTTTAATGAGAATTGTATGAAATCTGTGTAAGTATTCTTAAACTAGTAGTTCAAGTCCTTTTCTATTTCATTTTCATATTGATAATTCCGAATTTTTTCTAACGGCCTCATCATACTTTACCGCCTAATTGGTATATACTGCTGTAAAATGTAAAATCTCAGTCTTTAAAAATGACGAAAGCGGAACAAGTGGCTTCTGTTGTTCCTGTATTGACCTTGTGGATAATTTGACTATTTTTCTTGAGGCTACCCAGTGGAATACTAAAAACAATTCTCATATTTCCCTCAGGAATTGGATACTATAGTACGATATTAAAACTATTTTCCCTTCTGTTCTTAGTGGAAAGTAGGGCCTCAGTAGCACGCTCCCATCTCACTTTCTTCTCCACAGTCCTTCAATCCTGGAGCCACGACTGCCAACAAGCTTCCATTTCTTCCCCACATGATCTCCTCCATGTCACCCTCAAGTTGTCTACAGTAGCGTCTGTGAGTAGATTCTGTGTACACGAAAAAACCAGTAAAGCCCAAAATAAAACCGATGCCATAACTGAATCTAATTCTGTAGTCCATTATTATTATTATTTCACTAAGATTATGACGTTTGAAAGATAACTGCATGCTGAGTTAATGTCCATTTTTTATCTCTTGATCAGTTATTATCCGATTGCAAATAAATCTGAGGTCTAGTTAGTAGGAAAGAAGACTAGTAGCTGGCATGGTGCTAATTCAAATCTAATCACGGTTCTTAGATTTAAGTTATATCCGGACAAATCTCTTGACAAAACAGCTGTCCGGTCTTCCCAGGTTTCCATGTTCCTCCAACTGACTTCAGTCCTTGATTTTACTAGTATCTCAAGAGGAATTCATACTGATTTATTGGACGCCACTACGCTAGAAAAACATCCCCTGGTTAACTAGCTCACTAATTACTAGCCGGTCCTAAGCCCGGATAAACAGGGAAGGTTGGGCATACGGCTAGCAACCCTACACCATGAAACCACTCCAACCGCTGCAGAAACTTCACACCACAGACTAAATATCAAAAATAAAAACAAACTCATTCCTCACTGGAATCGGGAACACGAAATGACGCCGTTTGGTGAAAGCCTTCGGCAAGCCAATTGGCCGATCTGTCTCCATTCTCTCGATGGAAGTGAAAGTAAACATGGAGACATGGAATGGCTGAAGAATGTTGTCTGAAGCTAACAAGGCTGTCCAGATTGCAAAAGAGATGAGAAGATGTAGCATAGAAGTGCAAGGAATCGGTGAAACCAGGTGGGATGGAGGTGGACTCTCCTAAGTGTCAACTGCACAGTCAATAATCTACTCCGATATTGTCACCCACATGACAACCACGAGCACGTTGAGTTTCGGAGTGGGTATCATGATTTCCCCAACAACATCGAAGTCTCTCATGCAGTGGGAACCAGTCCCCTCCACGATCAGGATCATGACAGCAAGATTCAACTCAAAAGGAAGGAAAGTCACAATCACATAATCCTACTCCACGCACCTACAAATAATACAGATGAAGAGGAGGAGGAGGAGGAACTCTATAGACAACTCTAATCAATCCTGAAGAAGACTGAAGTCCATTTGGCGACATCAAAATTCTCATGCGTGGGGAGACATGAATGAATGCTAAACTGGGGGTGGACAACACAGGAATAGAACTGATGATACATCGAGAAGCACTCAATGAAATGAATGATAATGGAGAAGTGATTGTAGAATTCAGCACATTGAACGAGTTGGTGATTGGAGGTGAGGCAGTGTGTACAAACACAAGGATATTGACAAAGCGACATGAACTTCATCAGACACCAGGACACACTACACTACAAGTCGGATCGACTTCATTTGAATGTGAAGAAAGTGGAGACTGAGCCAGTCTACTAGACACAGGACGAGATGAAGAAGGGGAGGATATGCAGGTTTACACAAATACCTAGTATCTAGTTCAAGGAGCCTACCTTCAAAATCAAGATGAAAGCCTTCAAGGAAGTTGGTGATAGACCACAGTCGAAGTTGAACACCCAGAACAGAGACTGACCTGAAGGACAAAACTACAGAGGACATCTTCACGTCAGTCAGTCAGGTAGTCAGTCAGTCATGAGGACAAAATGTGAGACATTGAGCAACATCCCTGAAGAAACCTAAGTGGAAGAACACTGGAAGTCTTTATAAGAGGTGTGGAAAGAAACCTGGATAACCGTATTCGGAAAGAAGAAGAAACAAGACAAGAGACGGATCTCGACAGATACATGGAAGCTGATAGAGCAGGGAGAGGAAGATGGTGATGGTGAAGCAGAAGATGGACCAGTGCAAGGATGCACAACGACAAGAGGAACTGAACACAACGCATAAAACACAACACTTGACAAAGAAGTGAAGAAGGGTGTGCGCAAAGACAATAGACACTTCTACGACACACTGACAAGTAATGCACAACAGGCTGCAGTGAGGAGAGACAGAGACCTGACAACATTATATCAAATAACCAGGTTACTTTTATCTGGGAATAGATCAACTCAGAGGAAAGAAAGTGAAAGATAGTGAAGGAAAGCTAGTTAAGTTACCAAAGAGGAGAAACAAAGGAAACGATGGACTGACCACTTCGAAATGCTCTTGAATCGACCACCCGCATCATCTACAACTCGTCCAGAAATACCACCAGCAGCCCAGCCACAGAACTGTCAGTGAACACAGGCCCTCCGAGGAAAGTAGAAGTGAAGTCGTGAATGCCATAAAGCTGCTGAAATGCCATAAAACTGCTGAAATGCCATAAAACTGCTGAAATGCAGGAAAGCAGCAGAACCAGATGGAATTTCTCCAGAAGAACTGAAGACAGACACAGGGACAACAGTGGACATGCTCACACCACTATTGCAGAAGGTTTGGAAGGAATGAATGAATGAAAGGTAGCTGGCAACTGATTGGAAGAAGGGCTGCCTTGTCAAACTGGCGAAGCAGGGAGAACTTAGCCTTTGCAATAACTGGTGCGGAATCATCCTTCACTCCTGTCCACCCGAAGTGAAATATTATGCCGCATCATCCTTGAGAGACTGAAAGATGCTCTGGACTCAAAACTATGACCGGAACAGTTTGGTTGGTTGTTAGGTTGGTTGATTGTTTGGCTGGCTGGCATCAGGAAGAAGAAATCGTGTGCGGATCAAACTGCAACACTGCGCTGTCCATCATCATAGAACAGAGTATAGAATGGCAGTCAACTCTTTACCTCAAGCTTGTCGAATTTGCAGAGGCATTCGACCGCATCGACCGAGAAGTAATTTGCAGGCAGTTACCTCAACTCTACGGTTCCAGTGCCACCAATCTTTATCAACCTCATTCGACAGTCCAGTGCTATATGACGACACCACATGCAGAGTGATTCACAATGGGAAGCTCAGTGACGTCTTTGAAGTGAAAACAGGAGTAAGACAAAGCTGTCACCTACTATCATCCATAATCTTCGTGATTGTGATTGACTGGAGTAGATCATGCAGGAAACAGTGATGAGTGAGAAGATGGGCACACGTTGGCTGGACCGATGAAAACACCCCAGGAGAAGATTTTGATTTCGCCAAGGATGATGATGTCTAATGTCTTGTGGCAGAAACTTGAAGATGTACAGGTGAAAACTAACAAGTTGAGAGAAGAGGCTAGGCGAGGCGAGGCGAGGTGAGGGGAGGGGAGGCGAGGTGAGGCAGCGAAGGGAGACGCGACTTCAAGTGAACGTGGAGAAGACGGAGTTGATGAAGATACCCAACCAACACCAGCACCGACACCAACACCACCACCATCACCATCACCAACAACAACAAGCTCCAATCACCATGAACGGGAGAAACCTGAAGAAAGTAGTCTCTTTCACCTACCCACCTATCTACCTACTTACTTGCCTACCTACCTAGCCATCCAGGCAGCATCGTTTCAACTACAGTTGTCACAGGCACAGATGAGGATATCAAAGCCAGCCAGGATCGGAAAGACAGCAAGACAAGCCTTCCTGCATTAATCTGAAATCAGTGTGGAGATCTACTACACTACATTGCATTGCACTGCACTGCGCTGCACTGTACTCAGCATAAAGCGTGAACAAGATCCGGATTTTCAACACCAATCCAGTCAAGTCAGTGCTGCTATATGGTTCAGAGACTTGGCGCGTCACGAAAGGCACTTCCGACAAACTGCAGATATTCATCAACAACTGCCTATGCTGCCTCGATACTGAAGATCAGATGAGAAGGTCAGAAAGAATAAGCAACAAGAAACTCTGGTTGGCTGGCTGGCTGGCTGGCTGGCTGGCAACGAGCCAACGAAGCAAGAACCCATCACGCAACAAATATGCAGGAGAAGAAAGTGGAGATGTATTGGACATGCACTGAGGAGGCCGAGTGTGGACATCACCTGTCAGGTCAGGCAAGGCCAGACTAGGCCCTCGAGTGGAATCCGAAGGGGAAACGACGAGTTGGGTGTCCGAGTCGAGGGTGACATGGAGGGGATCATGTGGGGAAGAAATGAAAGCTTGTTGGCAGTCGTGGCTCCAGGACTAAAGGACTGTAGTGAAGAGAATGAGATTGGGGCGTACTAGTGAAGCCCTACGTTCCACTAGGAACCCAAGGGAAAATAATGGTAATAATAATATACTTTGAAGTCAATAAATCCTTACGAAACCTCTTTGATATACTTTTATAGTCTTTCAAGTAGTTAAATACATAGAGGTCCAAAGAGATGTGATTTAACTTACTCTGTTTCCTAAACGAACTCTGACTAAATCAATAATTTTTACTTGACCTATGTGCTCAATAAAAACAAAACAAATCAGAGCAAAAGTTTAAATTGTTCTCTCACTTTTGTTCGGAACCAACTTGTTTTTTAATTATTACTTTTGGGGTCTGACTTATTTTGAACTTTCTCAGATTGTTAATGTCATTTGCATATTTGGATTTTATGACAGTAATATTTGTTCCTCATTATGGATCAAATTTTATTAATCAAGGGATTAATTTAACCAATGGGTATCTTGGATTTCATACAGTCAAGGAAATATGTCAAACTCAAATTGCTCTCTATTCATGAAGTAGGCAGAAAATCGATGACTTTTGTGGTCGTTACCTTCAAACTACATTTGTTGTGTCACACTGAATAACCTACGAGAACTCGGCGCTGACCAGATTTCGGTTCCTCTTAATTTCTTTAACATTTTGCTGAATCGGTGGTTGACAATTGAATTCTTACCTTACTGCCTTAACAATTAGGTTACATGTCATCCTTAGTCAGCAGGGATTCCCAAGGAACCGATCATTTACTCGTGAGTTTCTTTATGATGAACACAATCATCTGATGCTTTTACAGTACTAAGAGTTTGGTAGAGCATTTTCAATTCACACAGACACCTAAGACTTAAAGCTCAGCTGGTTGGTTTGATCTAGCTGATATTTTGTTAGGTAAGTAGTTCGTAGGTATCTGTTTGAAATTGGGATATTACTCAGATTTGTTTTAAAAAGAAACCTGTCCCCTGGATTCCAGTGTTAGGCACTGCCAAGCAAATAATATTGCTCAAGGAAGCAATATGCCAACAGGGACAGATCGATTTAGTTCACTATGATGTTCGGCGAGAAATACAACCATAAATAAATGAATGCTGATGCCTATTGCATAAAAGGTGGCTCTTATGACTCATGGCCTGATGGATAGCACCCTGGCGTTTGAAGTGATGAATTCTGGGCTCAAGTTCCAGTCGGGGAACACCATTAATCACTGGGATGCAGGTGCATCCGGTTGGCAAGTCCCAGATATGACGAAACTCACGCTATGGCTTCCACTTCTAGCCACCACCAATCACTTAACAAATTTACTCTGATTTACAGTTCTCAGATGTTTATAATGGCTAGGAACTTACGGTTGATCTTTAATCCAGCAAATAACCTATCTTAATAGGCTTTTTGATCCAACGTTTAACTTTTAGAATGTTGATAAAGTGTAGAAATCGAAATAAATGACACACATGAGTGTTAACTGATGGTAAACTTCTTACTTTTGTCTGGTATCCGGAAAATCTAATTTCTTTTTTGTTTGGTTATCAATAAAGCATCGTTCCAATAGTCGGTTGCAATCGATGACCTACTATGGACAGCTTAAGGACCAATTATCTACTTGATAACAGATCTCTGAATATTAAAGAAGGGCACACATGCTTCTACCCTTTTGTAAAGCTTTTTAACAGTATGTATTTATGACGTTGTTTACCGTCTAATGAGGTATACGGGAAAATGAGGACTCTTGAAACATTGAATCCTACTGCAACAGATGGATGCTTCAGAATAATCAGTTTACATGATATTTCTTGTATTATCCCATTGTTGATTGGAGCGAATTGATCCATCTCTATTGGCAGATGGGCTCCTGCATGGATGCCTCGAAATTGCAGGTAATTTCAATTTTATGCTGATGATGGATAGTGACTGGCAGTGAAATTCATGACGCGTATTTCGTTTCATTTGGAACTCGTCAGCTGAATGTCACAATAGTCACAATAGTCACTTATTGTGCAAACAGTATAGTTTGTATGATGTTGGTTGTATTAACAATACAAGTTATCATTAACGAATTTGTTTATTGCTAAAATAAATTGGCTGCATTTTTGCTTATAATTTTTTTGTTTACAGACGGTCAAGAAATTTCCTGAAATTACATGAATTACCAAGTGGATGTGTTCAATACTTGCTTGACGCTTTATGTGACCAGTGTAGTTCTGTTCTCTCAACATGCAATCGAAGAAGCGGAAACAACGACAGTGATGACGAAATAATTATGGAGAAGTTCAACAGCCTTATTTACATTCTAAAACTGCTGTGTTTATTTGGCAGGTAGGTTGCAAACTTCTCTTCCCTGATACTTAACAGAAATGAAGATATTAGAAGGTTATTAGTTGAAGGAGAACGTTTGCATCAAGCTTTGCCAAATCTGTTGATATTGGTAATGCTAATCTTATGATTTTAAATACTTTTCCACCTTCGTTATTCGCTTACAGGCTTGTAATGCAGCAATGTGTATACCAAATCTTTCAGAAATCTTTGGTCTCACTATTGATTTAATTGAAGTTTTACATGATCCTCATTGTATGTGGAGACAGTGGAAAAATAGGTAAGCTGTTGCTATGATAGAAATTTTATACACTTGACAATTTCATGATGGTTTCTATGATTTTTAATAATCTTTAAAAAAAAGGTATAGTAGAAAACTAATACTGAAAATCCATTTAGTCTATGAGAAGAAATGTCATGGAAATGACGTTAATACTATTTCCGTCATGTATAAATTTGAATGCAATGAGAACGACACCTGAAGCAGAATAATATGAATCTGTTTTATTCCAGAGTTTCTCATTTCCTGCCTAGAACTTTAAACAGTTCAAGTATCTAATTATTAAATGTGCTGACTGCAAGCAAGCTATCAGGTTGAAAAGAAGACGATAAAAATCTTAAGTTGTTGGAATCATGAAATTGACTTACAGAAGCCAATAAGAATATTTTCTGTTTATAAGAATTCTCATTATATATTCCAGAAACATGGAGGGAACTTGAACAGTGATCGAAGATAAGGTTCTTGCAAACATAGTAGATCATTTGAGTACAGATCAGTTTCGAAAAGAAGGAATAGTAAAATGATAGGAAATGATGGTATTACATAAACAACTATTATCACTGGCAAAATAACCACAAAGGTCGGAAAAAACTTATAACTATGTTTATTCAAAGTACAGGTTAAATTTGTAAAAAACAATGAAATAAACTGCTCTCCATTTACTTTATGTATTTTGAGTTTCAAATTTATTTCTGTCATAGATTAGGCGACAGGTAGTTGCACTACTGAAGATATATGCAGCTTTCAGTCATAAATCCCTTAGAATATGCTAAGAAAAAGTCCATTAACCTACTATCTGTTCATCGAATGCATGTTCTTTGACATGTACCTATGAATTATTCTATGCAGTTGAAAGTGTTTTGAAAATGGTAGCGGTCAACCTCAGGTTTTCTCAGTGAGCTATTTTTTTGGTGAAGAGCAACTAAACCGGTAGACACTTAGGTCCCGTTTTGATACAACAGTAATCTTGATTCATCCACAGACCTCATCAAATTCGAGGCTAATATTAGGAAATACAAGTTTACTCTCTGATGTATACCGTTCTACATCGTAATGTGGTGTTTTCTTGTACTGTTCGACTAATTTTTGAGGGATGCATCATTATGAAGGTTCTTTTTAATGTAAGATTTGACTGACCTCTCAAGCCTATTTTAAGAGTGAAGATATTTCTCTGCCATTTATCTCACCAACAACCATTTATTATAGCTAACCGAATTAGAGCTGCTGAACTTACGGTATGGTGCATCATGTGAATGTTCATGATAAATACTTCTTTGCACATTTCTTTCTGTTTTTCTTGAAATTTCGGGTCCAGTTCACTCGTATCCTACTGTGTACTTTATGTTCTGATATAATTTTCTTGACTCAGACTGTCAGAACTTGTCACATGTGAGTTGGTGTTCGAGAAGGCTGTAGGACAAGTATTTCAGGTTCTAAAATTTGTAGCTGTTTCTATCAATTGTTCATTATTTCATTCATTTTTATTGATTATCCATTTCAATAGTAAGCACATTCAATTGACAGTCCACAACTCCACAACAACTTACAATCCAAATGAAAAATTCAAAATTATTCAGCTATCGAATTCTATGATATTAATTAACCCTGTTAGAGATTTTGAGTAATTCTTTATACAGTGACTTCAAAACTAGTGTTTGTTCAAGAAACAGACTTATGTAAAAACTGAAGTGGGATAGGAAAAGATTTGAAGATCAACAGAAAATCTTATCATAGGTGTGGTTCAGTGTATGTATCCTATCTCGTATTGACTAGCAGGATGTATGTGTCGTCTGGTTTGTAACGTTTACCTTTAAAGTTCGTAATTCTCCGATACTGTTTTCCGTGATAGTAGCTTTCAGTTTCTTTCTATCGTAAATTTCTGATATTCTCATAGCTGTGAGTAAATTAAGCTGAAATCTGCTTATACTCTATTTCTATGAACCCCGATCAGGACTGATGACATTTATCTGTGGAATCTGAGATTAAACATTCAGGTGTAACGTTAGAATTATTCCATCTATAAAAGTGTAACTTATATTCTAAAATTGGTATTTAACTGTGGTATCAATCCAGAATGAAAACTGTCTGAAATCATTAAATCCCTACCAACCCTCATCTAAATTATATTCCAATGTTCATTAATGGCTTCCTTTTAAATGAGTTTCTCGAAGTAATAATGAAAAGATATGACTTTTGAGGTCAATCATTTTGAGAATGAGGTAGATGTCCACTGATGTTGCAGACTGACAAAAGTAGGAAGTAGTAGATCATTGGATTGTAACCCACTAGCTGAATGATAAAGTACTCACTGAGATACCTAACGGTCCTGGGCTTGATTTTTCAATGGCTATTGGGTACATGCTCCCTGAATATTCCAAGCCAGGGAAGAAAAAACAGTGAAATAACTTATATCTCTGTGTAATAACAACATTTATGACTGAATACAAAAACTAGAAAGCATGCAGGATAGATATGATTATTTGGTAGACATTTTGAACTCCACACATACACAATATACATATATATATATATATATATATATATATATATATATATATACATGCAAAACACTTGGGATTTTCAATTTGTTATTCATGAACACAGACTGAAACTCATCTCTTTCGTCTGCATTTGTGCTCATTTTTTATTATAAAAAAGATTTACCAATTACTTATTTGATGAACTTATATGATAAGAAAAGATGACAAAAAGTGATTGAGTGTATAGTCGAATTTTGTCATTTTCAAATTTGAGGCGTGTCGGCGTATTGATAAATTATAATTAAACAAAAGAAAGTGATAGAAACGTACTATTGTATCATGTGATATAAGTAATTAGTGTCTTAATATGTGTTAATATGTGTTAATATATGTGTGTTAATGTGTGTTAATATATGTTAATGCTCAAACATTTACCGATCACCGTGTTGTTCTGTGTTTGTCTGTTGTATACCTGTTTACCCAGTGACTCAATGGTTTACTTGATTTAGTTTCAATAGTGGTTCCCATAAAGTATTCGTAACGAACAAGAACAATAATTTTCCTATTCGGTAGATCTTGACAACTTTAAGTCAGATGTGAGGACAGTTACTCAACGATGGCATTGGATGAAAGTTGCACTAAATCATGAGCTGATCAAATTAGGAAAATATGGACCATTGAATCCAATGCGTCAATGATAACGTGTTGTTTACCGAACTTGAAGGTGTTGGGTTCGATTTCTGGCGGGGTGATCGGTGCACGCTGCTGATGATTCTCATAGTAGAATGGGGAAGCTGTTCAATGCTACCAGGGTTTCAGTTGTTCTCCAACTCACGTCAGTCTGTGATGAATACTAACTTGAAACTAATCACAAACCTCCAAATTATATTTTAACTTATTTTCTACAAGTTGTGGTCTGTGGTAGAACTACTTCGAATCTAAAAGCATCATTAAGGTTTAGTATATGGATTCACTCGACAATTCCCTGGGTTGAATTTTAGGCTTTTGCATCGTTAGATGAGAACATAATTACTTTCCAGGAAATAGCAGAAACAGTAATATTTGTCAGATAACATTATATGCTGCTCAAACCCCTTATCTACAATCAGTTATCATTCTGGAGATAACTACGTTATGCAGTTTTATGTAACAGTTGGAGGAAAAGTAGACAGGTTGATCTAATTTATAGCGAAATAGGAACATTAATAAAATATAAATGTTCAGAACATGAAAGTCTCTTCCTTATCTGAAAGAAAACTTTAAAACTACTTTTTTTTTAATGCGAGGTATTGGATAATGAGTGATGTGAACAAATCCCAATTGTTGAGATTGTTATCGGTTTTTTATGGAAAGTACTTTAATAAAATTGAATTGGTAATGATGCATAGTCAGTTATCCGAACGTCCACCAGTCAAAATAATGGAAGGTGTAGAAAAAATCAGTTCAAAAGAGCATATTGATAGACAATCAACATTTGTACATTCGGAATAATCGAAGATTTATTCTTTCGAGGATTATTTGCTTGCAGGAAAAATCCACTCAGCAACCTTGTGCACATTTGCGCAGTAGGCAGTAAGTTATACCTATTGGTTGAGGGCGAATGATACTTACTACCTGGCTGCCTAAACCGCGGTAGATGCAGCGGTGCTGGAACCCTTAACCCACTAGTTGAAAGTCAACTTCTTAAACCAATGAGCAACAACTCCACATTTACGTACGGAGACGTTTTTTTAATATGAAATTTTAACCAGTGAAAGTTGTCATTAACTTAGTTTTATGTGAAGTGTTACACCTGCTTTTAAAGATAATATGCTATGTAGTATAGTCATACAATGGAAACATTGCACCCAAATAACTACCAAAAAATCTGGGCTTATGGAACACTAGTAGTTTCAGAAGACTCATAAATCGTTTAATCCAGGTCTGTAAGTGACTAAGTGTTACCTTTTACCAGGTTGTTGCATCAGGGAGGTATATTGCTCATGCACATTTCATTATATATACAGAAAATGAATCAGAGATTTCAAGTTGTCATTCATCGAAGACTGACATCAGTTGGAGGAACAAAGGAAACCTGGGAGCACTGGACAGCTGTTTCGTCCTAGTATGGGACTCCTCAGTAGTGCGCACCAACGACCCCACCAGCAGGGATCGAACCCGCGACCTTCAGGTTCCGCGACCAGCGCGTTACCATTGAGCCACTGGGTCAGAATCCAATGCTCCATATTTCCAACTTCTGTCAGCTCACGATGGATAACAACTTGAAATATTCCCAAATCTCCACAACCCCCTCAAAATTGAATTAGAGATTTGTTGAATTCAGTAGCTAAATATGTTTCATATCCGGTGTATAACCAATCAAACAATATATATTCTTTAAAACTTATGATACAGTATTTAAATGGGATACTTTCTTCCCACATACTTGATAACTTTCCTTCATGCCATAACACTAGCCTATGACGTTTATAACTGCTCGTCTAAGCCACGTAGAGGTGTGAAGACTTCTTGACCAGTGTC